GCAACTGTATTAACTGATGAATTCCAAAGAATCCCGAGAATTCGCTGCATTCAAATGTGAAACTGGAAAATTGCCTCTGTAATTAAAAAAACTGAATGAATTAAAGATAATTTTCTGAGTTAATTGAAAAACCATCGAGTAACCGTGAGTTTGTTATAAACAAAACGGAATGATAAAAATTTATCGCCCCACATTAATTAATCAAGGTAATAAAAAATAGATAATATATAATAAAGCCTTTTTTTAATTTTTCAAAATGAAAAATTCAAGGTTTATCGATTGTTACGTACGTCGAAGTAATTTTTTATCTTCTATCATTATTTTTGAATTAATTAACTAATTGTGAAATTATGTATTAATTATTCATCTGTCACGCAGGGACAATTTTATTGTTGTAGGCATTTGGAAAAATTGATAACGAATTTCGATTACATTTTTTTCTTTATTTCATTTTCTTTGCAGGTTTCATTTTTCTCAACAAGTCCAGAGCTCTCCAATAAACAACGTTTCGAGTACTTTACGAGAACAATTCCAAGTGACCACTATCAAGTTAAGGCGATGGTCGATATCGTCAGAAAAATGGGCTGGAGTTATATTTCAATAATCTACGAGGAGAGTAACTACGGAATAAAAGTGAGTGCCAAGTACTTTAAAAAAATATAAATGAAACATTCATTTGGTAAAGGTGAATAAAAATCGCAAAATTGTGAATTTCATGAAATCAGTCACCGACTGAACTCCCAGACGCAGGAGTCCACAGAATTTTTTTCGCATGTGGAATAATAAGAAACCTGAAGAAAGAACGATTTTTTGCGTGGGAAGAACTCGGTTGGACTTCAATTTGTTTGGCATCTTTCATGCAAATGAGAATAGAGTAAAATGCACCGCATTATATCAGAAAAGAAAAAAAAACAGAAACCGAAGTTTTTCATTACCAATTTTACATTATACAAGTTTTATGAAAGGAACTTCAATTACAGTGGCCAAACAATGAATGTGAATGATATTATTCAATAGTGGTATAATTTTCATAATTACAAAAAAAATTCAGAATCATTCTGCAATTGAAATACAGATTTTCAATTCTCATTCAAAAATCAAATATCGCCGGAATAATGATTTACAAAAATACTAGATATGAAGACCGTGAAATTACGAATATTTTATTTAATTACGTAAATAAATCATATATGGATTCCGAGATGAGCAACTTGGAAAAAAAATCCAAAGCTTGATTGATGAGAACGAGGACTTTGAACTAATGAAGTTTATTCTGAGTTACCCCACAGAATACAAAATTAATGATTAACGACACAAAAAAGGAACTGTGACGTTCGGACAATTCCGGCTTCATCATCAATGCGAAGGGTAAAAAGCTGTTGTTTTCCGCGAGTAAATTTGAGTGTCACATGGGCTGAGCATCATTTAAAAATTCAATTTCCCGGAAAGGAAATCGAATACATTCGTGTATTTGCAGTTGTTTTTCTGATTAAAAATTAAAATTCAATTTTTCGCTTCACCACTGTTATTTCATGCAGTTGTAGAATTCATTTGCAAATGCGTTTGAGTTTGAGTTTTTCTTTCGTGATTTAATTTAATGCTGTTATATTTATATATTATCGATGTCCAATAATTTTATCTTCCGAGATCAATGAAACAATTAAATTTTGATTTACGGAGTGTTTTTACAAAACCCCTTGTATAAACTAAACCTTAATGATTTATTTCACGTATAAGTTGATAATATTTTGAAGAAATTCTTCTTCACCCACAAAAACATTATTTTCTTTCAAAAATACGGGTTTTCTCACGGTACCGCTGTGTAAATGTACCACTGATTATAGTCGGCAATGAAATGAATTCGTTCCAAATTGAAAATTCCATCCATTGTCTCGAAAATGTAAATTTCAACCCCATAAATCTAGGTATTCATTAAACACGGTTAACCACTACCAGCTATTGGATTTCTATCCAGCGCACTAGGCGGAAATTGAATAAACAAAAATGTTAATGGTCCGTGAGTTGCGTTAATCAGATGGAACGGGTTGGTAAAATGAATAAAAATAAATACGTTAAATCAAGGTCTTTTGGAAGAGAGCAGTCACACTAATGGGTACATCCGCAAATGTAAAGTGTCGTAATACATCTTTCCTTTTTTAATGTGACCTGGTCGTGCACTCCAACATTGTTCAATTCGTATGACACTAATGGAAAATATATTCCGCTATAAATCATTCCATCGAGTCAACATTTGACAAACCTGTAGTTTGCGTAAAGTCATCCAGCAACTAGCCTCAGACATTCATCAGAGAAATGTAAAAACATAGAACAAGGGATGAAAAAATAAATGAATAATTTCCATGAAGTCAAGTAACGAGTAATCACGCGAATTGCCTTGGGCAATTTGCTCTCATGAAATTCTCCAAAAGCTCGACCTTAATCTAGCATTATTACACCGAAGAAAACATAAAAATTTCATTTTTCACCCCGTGAAAAAATATACTAATACTGGACCGTTTATTTTATGTATTTTTCTGTGTTATTACATACAGAGTTGTTATTACCGCATTCATGTGGTAGTTGCAGAAATGGGAAGAACAGCTAGGTGTAATGACTTTTTCCCACCACCCTGTAATATCGATCGGGGAATAGAAAAACCAACGAACAACCCCCTGACTATAAATTCTAACAAATTTATCTGATCCAGACAACAATGTCCAAATACTCGTGGCACTTTATTTTTAAGCATGATCGATAATTAATGTGACTATTCGCTGCTATGAATTATTCAGGAGTGAAGCGGCGAAACGCCATAAATCAATCTAGCAGACGACTTCAGTATCTCCTGAAGAATATCTGGCAATTGAATCAAGCACACTACTATCAAACTGAAACGTTGATTCCATTTCGGTAGAATTGGGCTCGTATTGCCTGCACTAGAACTGAAAAATGATCAACTGCTGAGCCCAAGATTCAATTTATATTGTCAAGTGTAATGTATTAGTACGTGCACGGAGAGAAAAATTATTTAAAAAATGAAGATGCCTGTTCCGTAACCTGCCAGTCAAAACAGTATTCAGTAAAAATTACGGAACAGTTACTCATTTTTTCACTGAGTGTTCCGTACTTGTTTTGTACTATACACATAAATATACATGAGTTCTACAAACGTGATGGGAAAAAAGATGTCATTCGATTCTGATTTGGAAACGGATTTGGATTTAAATTAATTTATTTATTTTATGAATTTATTTTGAAATTCATTTGGAAACGGATTTGGAGAAAAATTGCCTCACGCTAATAAAGCAGAAAGTCAGTTGTGCCAATAATAAATTCAACTGATGAAACATTACTCTTCGTTTGTCTCTCAATCTCAATCTTGTAGGCATATGAAGAACTTGAGGAGCTTCTGTCAAAGCATCAAATATGCATCGCCATCAAGGAGAAGCTCGTGAAGGATTCCGGTGTTGCTGACGAAACAGCGTATGACAGTATCGTACAGAAGCTACTAACTAAACCCAGAGCTAGAGGTACAAACCACAAGTAACCCCTCTTTATTCCACTATAATCAAAGCACACGAATAATTACCAATATGCCACCCACAATTTTCATGATAATGATACTATCGATACTCCCTAGAAATTAATCCCCATGAATATTAATGATATATTCATGGGATTTTAGACTGAGTCCATTTTTTTGAATAATATTATTTGTTGTTCCTTGTATTAGACGGATTATTATATTAATTACATGGGGATAGACATTCTAATGAAGAGTGCTGCAATTGTAATTGGAATTACAATTGAATTAATTAGAATTCGAATTAATTGCCTTTGGCGCGACTTCTACTTATCGTCCTGCAGTTGATCTCCCAGAGAAAATCTCAGATTCTTCACAAAATAGGAATTTCAATTACTGGAAAAATTCAACAGCTCTCGAAATTTCTTTCTAATTCAATTACAAAACTGCAAATAAAGCGCCTCACGATGCTCTTGTGGCTTCCAATTTATTTTATCAAAATGTGTGAATAAATTTGATAAATAACTGATTTCCTATTCAATGTAACCAAATACAAATTGATGAAGCATTATGAATGGAGTGTACTATAGATTTTAGCGAGAAAAAAACGCTCTTTACCGATTTTACGTACGAAGCTGTTTAAACCTACATTGAATCATGATAAAACCTTGGGTAAGCCACAATGGAAGTCTGACTACATTTCGACGCAACTCCAACTAAATTTCGGATAAAACCCGGAATAAACTCCGGGCTGAAAAATCTTTCCAAAATGCAATTATTTAGTTAACGAACAAAAGACAATTTTTTTCTAAATATTCCGACATGTCCATTTCCAGTTTATTAATAATATTTCGAATGAGTCTAAAATATATGATCTCTGTAGATAACAATCGTAATTAGTGATAAAACTAAGGAAAAACCTGACTGTATATCCGGGATTGTTTTATTACGTAATAACTGGTTTGATTCATACACGTATTAATGGTTCAAAAAGGCCCATAAAAAGTACGTTCAATTAAAATTTTAGTTTTGAGCTAAAATAAAAATTTTGTTAACTGCCCCATCGTTACCATCAGTCTTAACATCACTAAAAATCATCGATGAATTAAAAAAAGTAAATATTTCATTAATATTTTCCTCATCATAATGAAGCATTTCGCTAAAAATATTTATTCAGAGGAGCGTCTTCAATTAAATTTAATCCGCTTTGTTTCCAATTTGTTCGTTAAAAATATAACTCTTTCGAAAATTAACTCATTCTTCATGTTTTCAATTGTACCAGGACTAATTATTCTTCGTCAAATGTATCTCTCCTATTTTCACATCGACGTGAATAAATCTGTGAACTCCATTCATAATTATGGGGGTAGATTCATTGTGAGAATGATTAATTGCAGGTCGTCACGAAACTCAGTGAACAATAGTCGGCGGAACCTGGTAAAACTTTAATATTTTATTTGTTTTTTGCTTATCGTATATAAATCCCCCGAGGAACATCGGGGGTTCCTGCTGTTTTATTTATGGCTTCAAATAAACATTCCTGGTGGGATATTGAAGTTGGGCTGACAGGTAATTTAACGGGTAATTATCGGTTTCATCAGTTCCCTAATGAAACAT